GCTGTGTTCAACACCTCTCCAGGAAATACACCACACCACCCATGGCACTACTTCATGACTTCAAAACAAAACCCTTGGCTGTAGAAAAGTCTGCAATTCAGGTCTTCTGCAGTCTCAATCCTCAGTTCATGTGCCTTTGCCAAAAAGGTTTGCCTAAATCTTTGTTTCAATCTTAGCTAAAAAATTTTTAAATTATACTCAGAACTATAAACCACACCAACACCTAACTGAGGAGGTAAACATGGATTTTGTTTTGGTTTTTTGGTAAGTGTTACTACAAGTAAAAGTGGAACAGACAAGTTACAACACTGTTGAATATCAGGTTTAGCTGCACCTACACCCTTTTCATGAAGGTAAAGTGCATCTGTGGTAGTGAGAAAACCACAACAAACAAGTACAATCTGAAGAAGGCAGAAGCCAGAAAAATATCTACAGACAGGCAAGAAGAACTACACAAAAACTTGCCATGAAGGTTCCTCCAAAGATCAGCAGCTGGAAAGCACTTCTACTTGAAAAAGCACTTCTGCTAGCCATCTGTCAGGACTAGAAGGCTATTCTCCCCCAATTCAAAATCTGGCTGCCCTGGTTTACCATTCATCTGAAGCACTGAAGACTGGCTTGAGCCCAGAAAGCATCATCCTGATAGCAGAATTCATGTCTCAAAGTGCCTGCTCGAGTTTTCTGCTGACAGGGATCTCATGACACAATGACTTCAATCTTTCTTGTTCACTTTCTGAAGCATAGTGTAACACTGACTTTTCATCATTTAGCAGAGTTTAAAGTTCTCTTTAAAGTTTGCTTCCCATAGCCATAAGAGTCTGTGATTTGCAGTATGCCAGAAGAAAACCTGCTGATCATCTAAATGGCAGGTAAGTTATAAGGCTACCTGTGACTGAGGGTGGCAGTGGGGAAATTCCACACTAAAACCCCTCAGTGATCAAATGGCTCCTTCCAGTCCTGAGCTCCACATTCCCAAATGCACTCAAGGAGTTATTTTGCTGATATTCATCAAAAAGTAAACAATTCCCATGGTTCTTATAAGTCCAAATAGTATTTTTATACTTAAAATGAACAGCTAATTAAATAAAAAGGGCAACTGGATGAACTGGGGAAAAAAAAAAATCCCCTTCAAGATGTTCTGTTGCTGGCATGCAGTCATTTCTTCCCATCCTGTTCTTCTTCCAACTTTGAGTAACAATTACTTGGGAGGAATATTTTCTCAAACTATTTGCAGAACACCTGAGTCTTCTGGTTCTTCAATTAGACACCTTAACAAGGTAGAACCACAAGGAAGGACAGAAGCACTTCTGTACAAAATGCAAGCCCCTCTAGAAAAGACTAAAAAAACCTACCACAATTCACAAAAATAATTCATCTGTCAGTCTCTCCCATTTATTTACTCACCATCTCACTGCAGAGGTTTAGGTTAGTGAAAAGCTTTAGAACAAATTCAATCAACTGGATGTTTTCTAAAATCTGGTACAGTGCTTTACAGCATCGTGGGAAAAAGAAGTGTTAATGCCTGAATTTTGACCCCACCCACAGAAAGCATAAAAAGGCACCAGCAATTTTAAGTGACTAAGGCCCAGCAAACAGACCAACAGCAGCAGTGCCTGTGTCAGCAGGTTTGTCCTCCCACATCCAGAGGCTGCAGAACTCCATTATTCCATGGGACTTGCAAAGAGAACAGTTTGTAAACAGGCACCAGGGCTTTCCAAAACAGCTGGCCCTTCAGAGGGAGCTGCAGGCTTTAACCTTGAATCAGCCATGCTGCTGTAAGGAGACAGTCAGGAGCCTGAGCTTTTTTTGTTTTTGTTTTAATGTTCATGATACACGAGTAAATGGCAAAAACAAAGTGTATTGAAAATGAAGCATGTTTAAAACCTCCACCAAGCAGCAGCCCGAACACAATGTATAAATAAACCCAAGTCATGACAAGCAGCATTCCACAGTCATGTGTCAAGTGAAAAGCAGAAAGACTTGTCTGTTTGAAGAAAACAATTGTGATTGTTTCCTATATATTAACTCAGGATTTTACCATTTAATGACAAGTTTCCTGAAAGCTTAGTGAGCACAGACACTATAAACGAGATTATTATGAGCTCATTATATACTAGGTTCCATTTCTAGGCACTATTTAGTTGAGTGCTCATTCAAAATGCCCTTTTATTGTGAGATGATGTACCTAAGTTTAGCTTACCCACTTAAAATTACCCAAACCAAATCACTACTCAGTATGACCCATCATCTCTGCTGGCCCCCAAAGCCTGCATTTTAGACTAAATCTCCTTCAAGAGATCATGTAGCAGATTACATTGACAATCATTTATTTGCATTAAGCATAAACATCAGTGCCACTTGTAATAATCTACCTACAACTAAAACCAAAAAAAAGGTCTTAAAAAAAAATCATTAGTTTCCACCAGACATTTAACAGTTCCTCTCTTACATGGAAATGGGATGTCTACTATGAAAGGCCAGATGCTCAAATGGATTAAACAGTGTCTAGCCTTTAAATCCTTCATCCACAAATCAACACTGACCTAGTGACCTAAAGTAAAACTTAATAATAAAAAAGGCATCCAACAGATACATATAGACTAATCAAGACAGAAATTTAAAACAAAATTGTTTGCCTGAGAGTGTTTGGACATTTACATGATGCTCATGAGAATATAAGCGCTGGAGAATGCAGAATGTGCAGTCCCCTATTTATCCTTGACACAGGTTTAGCAGAGGCAGTGGGAAAACAGGCTCCTCAGCACACTCCCAGTTAGCAATCAGGAGAAATCACCTCCGGAAAGGGTACACAAGGCATTACCTTCCTGCCCTTAGGATAGTTGCTGTCTCTGAAGACTTGCCAGCGAGACAGTAATTCACACGCAGTGACAGTGAATCCTGTGGGCAGCAGCTGCCTTCCTCGAAACAGAGCAGGCAAGAGAAACACAACCCACAGCAGCATAACCTTGGGAGGGTTGCCCTTCACTCCAGGCAGGTCCAGGATAACACCTGAAGGGTGAAAGTCTAATCTCTTTCCAAGCACAAAAGCCAATCTGCCCTTTCCTCCTGACAATGTAATTACAGACTTGGCACTTGCACGTGTGAACAAGTCCACTGCAGCCCATTAAGTGCAAGTTTTGCATAAATCACCAACTTCAAAGGCAATGCAATATTTAAATTCTGGGGAAGGAAGGGAATTTTTTAAAGGGTTTTTTTTTTTTTTTTTAAATAACAAGTTGATACAGCTTTTATTAAGGGCGGTCATCCAATTCCACCAACATAAGAGTGTTTCATGATGTTGGAAAGGACTTCATGCACATATACCAACCTCCCACAAGCACAGGAGAGGCTCATTCACCACAAACAGTTAAAGTACTCAAAGAAATAAAGACCCTCTCAACCTCCCACACACACTTTTGTTAGGCACCAAGACTTGAAAAGCATCTTGTAGGTTAAAAATTTATCTTAGTCAAATATGTTGCAATCGTGACTTATTAACTCTGTCAGTAACTTTCTGTCCAGACTCCAATGCCCTGACATTATCAGTGCATAAAAGCAGAGGACAGAGAGGTTGAATTAGCACTGACACAGTTTTAATTAAAAGCCTCTAGTAGTGTTCTCCCCTGCACCAAATAAAAATGGCAGTTCTGGCAAGAGGGATGCAGCATAAGACCTTTATTTGAAAAGGGAAAGCCCATATGTGACCAAAAACATATGCTGAAGCAGCATTTTGCAATTTTGGGGTGCTAAATTTTAATGTCCCTCATTTAAGTCAGCAATTTGAGTTGCACTAAAATGTTCACCATGCATATATCATGGAAAAAAAAGAATACTCCTAGCTCCTGCAAGACAGCAAAAAAGTATTTTATAGGACTAGAAAACCTTACAAGGATATACCTTTATTTTCCCCTTCATATTAAATCCTGTCATCAAAACAGTCACAATATTTGCAGAGAATCCCAAAAACACATGTCACGTCTTTATACAACTAAGCTCTATAAAAGAAATAGTCCAAAATGTTTGGTCAGATGGCGAGTTAGAAAGAGGGAGAGAGGGTGGGAACGAGGAGTGGAGAACCTGCTCCTGCATTCTGCCTCCCTTACGCTGCTTCCTCTGGGCAAACTGCATAAAACACCCTAAACATCCATTGTATCACAGCTCTGCTCGAACATTTCCCCCTCGTCTCACCCTTCATGCCAGTATGAAAAGCAAACACGTATCACATCCAAAAAGAAATCACTCAGACAAAAAGCAACCAGCGTGAAAAGACACGTAAATCAAACAGATCTGGCAGCAAACAGCATTTCATAAAGACGATAGATATGGATTGCTCCATTTGTGTCAGTTCGGCCAGTTATTGTTCTGACTTACTACTTTAACTACCCCAGATTAAACTGCTTGAACTGCAACAGACAAACGAAGATCCTTAAAATACAATCCCCCCACACCCTCCTAACAATAAAGCATTATTTCCGTGGTGCTACCATCCTCAAATCTTAAAGCCACTACATCAGCTAAAAATTACCTACGTATAAAATTAATTTAGCACCGACCTTGCAAAAAGCTCGCTCCTCTTGGCTAGAAATCATTAACAGTTTTGGTAAAATCCTTTTATGTGCTCCTCCAGCTAGCTAATTCCAGCCTTCCATTAACGCACTCCATTGCAGATAATTGCCGACAGCACACGCTCCCCTGCTTTTGCTGGTTCCCAACCCAGCGAGGATAATCACATTCCAGCAGGGAGCGAACAGATGGCAGCCTCCATGGTAACCAGCCCTCCCCAGCTCGCGGCAGCACCGGGAGACGGCCGGGGCCGGGGCAACAAGCGCCCTTTGTGCGCAGCCGGCGCGGGGCCGGGGCGCTGGGCGGGCCCGCCAGGTGCCCTGCCTCCGCCGCACCTCAGCACACGCCGGCGGCCGGCTGAACCTCGAACTGCCTGTGCGGGGGGAAACACCCCCCGGATGGAGGTGACGCTCAGCGGGAGTTCTATCTGCTGTCAGAGCAGGGAAATGAGCTGGGATCTGGTTTTCTCCCTGACAAGGTAGGCTTATTTCCCCTGAATGGGCTTGATTTCAGCACCATTGGAAACGTTTGCTGCCTGATCTCTATCTCCCGGACTTTGAAATTGCTCCCCTCAAGATACTATAATCTACTGCTCAACAAGAACTGCACAGACCCTCTGTTTTGGTCCGGAGCTTCTGTCAGGCTTATCTGCTCTGCCTCTGCCGGCATCAATGCCGATTCGGCAGGCAAAACTGCCCTGTCTCTGCTGCACTGCCGGCAGAGGCGTGTCTGGAAAAGGCTTTTTTTCCATATCAAAGGTGTGCCTGAAACCTCTGCTCTCACCGGGCCAGACCCTGCACGGCTCCACACCTACAGTGAAGGTGTGTGCACCAGCTCAGAGAATTCCCACTGATGATGCCTACAGGGAAAAGGGAAGTGGCTTTTCACATCCAACCCATAATGATCTTCTCTGCAAAATAAAAGGGTTTTGAAAGAACATTTAGGGGTTTAAATACTGATGACTTGTACAGTCTCAAAATATTTTAGGCTTGAAACATTGAATGTATAATAGCCCTGACTCACACAAACTTTCTCTGCCTCACTCTCAAAACCACTCAGTGCTTATGACTAATGACCCCCCCAAAAAAAATAAAAGGGTAATTTTACTTGAAGCTGCACCAAATTTGGACCTCAAGTTCCTGCATGCTAACTTAGGTCTAGAAAATTATTCTTTTGAAGAAGGAAAACTGCTTTCCTTTCTCCTTTAATCTTCTAGCTGGTCCTGCAGAAGAGCTTTCGTTCCTCTAAAAGATTTAAAACCCTGAGCTGGACCCCACCATCACAAAAACACATCTTCGTCTGCACGTAGTTTCAGATACAGAGTTCTATGATTTTCTCTCTCCTCCCACCCAAATTTTCAGTTTTCCTCATCCTTACTGCACAAGGATATTTATTGTGTTTCACAGCAAGCCCAGTGAAATTTACATTGGTAAGAGACACCACTGTTAAACTGCTGGTGCATTACCACTGGAAGCCTTTCAGATCCCTACTGACAGCACGAGTATCTGTAATCAACACAAAAGTCCCCACCACAGAAAGCTGACAAGGACCCAGATTTCAGAAGGAACTCACAAGGTTATTGTGGATACTGGTGAAAGGTGTGGGACAAAACCCAAGTCTGCCAACTTGCTATCCAGGACTAGCAGACCATTCTGACTCATGCTGATGATTTCAATCCATTTTCTCCCTCTAAATAAGCAATATTTACATCATCAAAAAGTTCCTAAGCTTGTATGAACACCAAACCTAATTATCCATCAGCAACAGCAGTAAAACAAAGTAAGGAACAAAAGCCAGTATCCTATTTAACTTGCCAATTGTTAATAATAAAAATTTTCAGCATTAAAGCATCATGAAAGGCAGCAACACAATTTCCCTTTTGCCTCTTAAAAATAAAGACAGTAGCTCCAAAATTAGGTTTGATGTACTTAGAGATTTTTATGCATTTATATATTTCTGGGGTTAAAAAATGGAGCAATTACAATTCTTAGCAAAATTACTTCAAAATTATAGGGATTTAAGTTCAGTTTCAGTCTTTTTTTCCACCATGAAAGGGACACCTCCTACAAAACAGTTTTCTAGATTTATGTTAATTCCAACTTTGTATTTAAAAATTAAGTTGTTTACTGAAATATTATAAGCCATCTTGGTATTGGAAAACCTGTTCCATACACCATAAAAACCCTTAGACCATCTGTTCTTGAACAAGAACTAGCTGTACTCATTATAGGAGGAATGCTAGCAGAATGAAGGGCAACAGCGGTCAGAATCCATTTCAGCTTCTTATTTGGAATTTCTTTAATTATTAGGTCTGATTTTACAAAGACACAGTAAAAAAAATTCAACTATGTGGAGCAGCCATCACACAAAGGAAGGGACAATGGGACACACTACAATCTTTGATAGAAATAATAGGTAACATATATGGACTAACACTGAAGAAAGTATCCTCTGTTCATGTGACAAAAGTTTTATTCAAGCTCCTTGAAAGGGACAGAGGAAAACAGCACATCCCAAATGATTCTGAGGAGGGGTGGACAAAGAAAATTTAGTCATCTCTCTTTCTTGCTTGGCTTGAAGACAGAAGTCTAGGAATAAACTGGTTTTAGCTGGAAGACATGAATGGAAAATAAAGAACATATTGACATCCGGTGTACTGAATTGATTCCATTGAAAGGATTGTCTTTCACAACAATGGCACAATGTGCTTCAGCTCTTCCAGTCCCAGCTGCTATCTGACAGCCCGAGATTTTGCCATTTTATTCAGGTTGATGAAGTCCGAAACTAAGCCTTAGAAATTTATTTTTTTAAATTGGATAAGGAGGGGGGTGTCTCTTTGGTAATGACCACTTAAAAATCTATTCACCAAAACAAGTTATATGAGTTTAGAATGAGGCATACAGACAGCAGTTGGTTGCCATTGTCTGCATAAGATTTGAAAGCTTTAACTAAAACCAACCACAGCATCTAAGTAAGTGACGTGTCAGGCCTCACACACAGATGGCTTCAAGTTGTTGCCCATTTGTTATATCATTTTTTGGAGTTCTACTGAAACAGGCTCGTTATTCCTGACAGTTGCAACATTTACTGCCAGGCAAAGCAAAACAATAGAACATGGATCAGCTCTGTTATAGTATCACCTTTGTTTGTACAGAGAAATCAGCTTCAATATAAATATAGACTCACAGAACTTTTTCGGTTTGAAAAGACCTCCAAAATCATGGAGTTCAGCTGTTTAACCCAGCATCACTGTACTCTCCACTAAGACATGGGTCACATCCACACGTTTTTTGAACACTTCCAAGGATGGTGATTCCAGCACTTCCCTCGGCAGCCTGTCCCAATGCTTGATAACCCTGTCAGTGAAGAAATTTTTCCTAAAATCCAATCTAAACCACCCCGGTGCAAACTGAAGGACAATGAGTTGTTACCCGGGAGAAGAACCTGACCCCCATCTTGCTATAACCTCCTTTCAGGGAGTTGTAGAGAGCAATAAGGTCCCCCCAGAGCCTCCTTTTCTCCTGCCTAAACACCCCCAGCTCCCTCAGCTGCTCCTCACAGGATTTGTGCTCCAGACCCTTCACCAGCTCCACTGCCCTTCTCTGGACGTGCTCTGGCACCTCCATGTCTTTGTCATAGTGAGAAGCCCAGAACTGAACACAGAATTCGAGGTGCAGCCCCACCAGTGACAAGCACAGGGGCACAAAATGGTCATGTGTTCCTTTTATCATCAGTACTGAAGAAGTGCACCTCAAGGGAAACTGGATGTCTACATTTTTAGGAGTATACAAAAAATACATCTATTCTTGCAAGCGTAAAGGCTCTGAAGATGCAAAAGGAGACCTCAGGCCTGGTGCGCTGCGCTCCTGTTACTTCCCCAGCAATTTCAGGCTGCACATGCTCCTCAGTGCCACAGGAAACAAGACTATGGAATTTATTTTTTTCTTTCACAGGGTGCCCTGAGAGGACATGTGTGCTGGGTGTGGAAAAAAGGGCAGCTGTTTTGCTGTTGTTCTGACAGGCAGCGTTTGATTCACACGATGTCAGTGTTCCAGGCGGTAAAGCTTTCCCTTCCAAACTGCTGCTGTATACAGAAGCATTTGCAGCAGAGAGATGAGCTATCTCCTTCTCTCCATCTCAATGACACTGTCTCCATCCCCTGCAGCCATCCTTCCTCTAGTGTTACAACAGCCCTTCCTGTGGATGTCTATTTTTGGCAACTATCACTTAAAGGACAATAAAGAAACACGGACAGAAGTTGTACTAGGCCATCTTATTTATCTGTTTGGTCCACAAGCCTGGAAGTCATCGTTCCTTCTTAGATAATTCTGCAGAATAACTTTTGAGTTACAGAAATATAAGAAACAAGACTTTTACTGTTTTGTCTCCAAATATAGTTATTTTCAGATCAGGCACCAGCCCAATACACTGAAACACATTCTGTAAACTAGAACTGCTTTCATTTCCAAGCAGTTTATGGCACCTCTCCCACTGAGCTGTATCAGTACTGCCTTCGAGTTAGTAATGCCTGTAGCAAGGATATTGTTTCTTCCTGAAGCCAATACTAAAGCATATCTGGAGTTATTCAGGCACAATGATAAATATAATTTTCAACTGTTATGGAATATAGATGATGAAAAATCTAATTTCAAGAAAATCCAGCCATCGAAAGGCTCTAGATTTCAGCCCCTTCCTCTAGTAAAGAAAATCCTCTTGCTAACTGCTGATAATAGACACAGCTAATTAGCAGAATTTTACATTGTAAATGCTGAATTATTTTTATGTCAACAGCAAAATGTAGCGCACAGAAGAATTGTTAAGGGGAATGTATGATTGCACAGGCTCCCTCAAGAGCACACTGCAGCTCAGGCCTTGCACCTCTGAGGCATAAAACAGCTCATATTGGTGCTTCCTATCCAGAAGCAAGAAGGCTGGCTCTGGTTTTGCAAGTTGTGCATGAATGGAGAGAAATGGAAAGACAACATCAAAAGGCTTGCCTCACAACAGCAGAATAAGCTGTCACACTAATGCATTCAATTAAAAAATAATAAGCAAGAAATATGACAAAAGTAGAGCAGATTTCAGTTTAAAACTCTGTTTGTCTAGGTAGGACAATTCAGTTCACTGTCTGGAAGCACCCAACAATAGGGCACAGCAACCAGCAGACGTGCCTGATTATTTCTGCAATCTCACAGAGTGTTTCCATGGAAAAGCAGCAGCCTCCTAGCTTTGACATTCAGCGTCTGACAGCTGAGCCAGCCAAAGTTCAGACTCACAAGGCTCAAAGAGAGATCACAGACAGCTCTTTGGATGTGGTTCTGAGCAATGCAAGACTAAATCCAGCTCTGAGGAAGAGCCCAACACCAGGGCTTCTCTTCTGTGCTTTTTATTTACCAGTTAAGTTCCCAGTGAAAGCAGAACAGACATCAGAGCAGCACATGGGTGGGAACTGTGGCCACAGGGCTTTCCTTTCTCCTTAGGCTTCACTAAAGAGTTTATGAAAAGTCTGTATAGGAACTGAAGGACTGCTCTTGGACAGAGCTAGCAAACAAAGATAGAACTAGCAAAACACAGATAGAACTGCTGGAAGAGGAATAGCTTGTACATTCCCTCCTCTATAAATTATCCTATGGTAAGGACCAAAACCAGTAGGAGAGTAAGGAAATGTAGAGAAACCAATGCAACCACAATGAAGTAACTCACGACATTTTGGGTATTCAGTGAGCTTGTCTCCTCCATGCAGATACAGGAAGCTCTCATACTTCATCAAACTTGGAAAGAAAAAAGGTTGTTATAAGTCCAGAACTTGAAGTTAGTCTTTGCAAAGGTTATCTGAGGTACAGCAGGAGCAGTGGTATTTCAGCAGTACTAAATATTACATCATGCTTTAGCCCACTGCATGTGGATAACTTATTAGTGGCAAAGAATGCAGAAAATATTCCTGAAATGCATTTAGCAGATCAACTCATATAATACACATTGATTCGATTTAAATTCCTTTCCAAACTCATCAGACACCACTTTGCCAGAGGCTTCTAAGGTCTAGAGACACAGGTGCCAGATCCAACCCAACCAAGCACTTTTCTGGGCAGTCTGTAACAGTTCTCAGAACACCACATTCATTTTAAAATACATTGTGCCTTTCTCTACCCAGAAGCTCCTTCCACAGGTTGACTGAGCACAAAGCCAACTAAAGAAACCTCATTTTGGAAGGTATTTGATAAGGCAAACCTGGAGCATGCTCTTTCCATGCCCACAGCTGACAGCTCCACTGACAAGAGGAAGGAAAACCAGCATCACAAGATTTACTGATATCTGACCAGACAACACCAACAAAACCTAAAACTTCCACCCACCTCTCATGCTAGCTCACACAAGAGTTATCTTTTTTACAACCCAAATTTACAGGGCCACTTAGGCCAACAGTAGCTACGTGTTCCACTGGAGCCACCCAAAATACTCCTGGGTTTATTTTTGTTTACATTTCAATGGCTCGGAGATTTCTTTGCAATCTACCTCCTCCCATAAGTTTGGGGGAAAAAAGAAAGGAAAAAGAGACTTTGACAGAAACTGTCTTGGTCACAGGTGAGGCTTCCAGGTGGATTCCTGACAAATATATGGTACTAGAGGCATACAGCAGGTTGTCTCCATTTCAGACCATTTTCTTTAAAAATAATCAGCCCAGTACAGCCTATTGCTGTACAGTATTGCTGGCATCTCGTTTGTATTATTATTGCTACTAACATATAATGCAGCAAAGAGGGATCTTGCAAGGATTTTATTATTTTGCTATAAGGAAACACAAGAGAATGTTAGCATATGAGTCACTGCTGTACCTTGAAAGGTCTAGAATTTTCAAAGTTTGCCTCTAATTGCACTTACAATTACATACTTATACATAAGGATAAAGGAAAAATCCAGGATAAATCAAGACACACCTACAAAGAAAGACTCCACATTCTGAGAAACGTGCAAGACTGACATATGTGCACAAAACAGAGCTACTAAAATGATCTTGTTCACTTAAAAAAATTTTGGAGACACTTTTGAAGTTCTGATTGTCTCGGCACTGGTGAGAAAAACAGTCCAAAGAATGCAGTACCAGCAGGGGTGAATAATTAACTGCATTTCAATGTTCCTTAATTAATACATTACAGCGCAATGCAAATGTGTATATCTAGTGTATATATGCATTACAACTAAAAATTTTCTATCCAGTCTGCCTGTACTTACATTTTAAACAGCTAGGATGTATTTGATATTTTGATATCTAGAAATATATCTATAAATACATGTTGATATATTTAAACAGCACTCTAGTAAACGTATTACCTGCACTTCACTTTCAGGAAAATAAAGCCTTTGGCAATGCACTGCAAGGTGATGATGTGGGGGGCCATAGTGACACTCACCCCTCATCTCCTGTCCATAATTTCAAAGATCATCACTATTCTCAGACTGCATGTGACAGAAAAATAGGAAGGAAAGGTCAAGAAAATGTCAGAAACCAAGTTCAAATTAGAAAACAAGTCCATGGTGTGCAATGAGGAAGGTCACAAGCCTGTGTTTCTCTTTGTAGGGGTAACTGCCTTGGATCAATGCATTCTTGTTCTGCTTCTGCTGCTGCTCTCCCAAGCCATGAGAATTCGGTTTAGTGCAACTGCCTTTGGACGTTGACAGATGGCTTGGTCCTCAACAGCAGCAAGAAACAAGCTTTCTTGTTGATATCAGCAGAAAAACTAGATCTAGACCACAGATTCTCTCCTACACAGAAAAGTTTGGTCACAGGCTACTGAAGAAGTTACCGGCCTCCTGTTGAGTTCTAATTCTTCAAGAGAGATCTGATACAAGTATCAGCTACAGGCCAAGATGAGAAAAAATGTGTATATTTTGATTTTCACATATTTCTGAGACTCTCCCAGAGCACATCTATTTACTTCAAAACCAGTAAACTATTTAAGAAAAAAAACCCACAAAAACAAAAGACATCTACTCACAGCTACCCATGCCTTATAAAGGAATGCCAGTGCCACAAGCAGAAATCCTTACATTCCAGTGATTCTGTGCAAGTAAACCTACTTATTTGGGAGGCAATCTTTAAAGCAGACACAGAATGAGCATTATCAAGTCATTCTATGGAAAAGGAAGTTCTGAATTTCATAACTTAGTGACATAGCTCAGGAAGTAAGCAACAAGAAGTATTTCAACACATACTAACAGCAGATTGTGTGAGTGGGCACCTATGTCAAAGGAAATGTGTCTTTAAAATATCTCTTTAAAAAGAAAAAGAATCCTTACATATCAGGAATCATTTGTCATTCTTATTTTCTTTTGTATATTATGGAAGCTATATTCTAATCTCACCTTTAATGTCTTTTGGGAGCGCATACTTAAGAAAACAATAAGCAGCTCTGGCAATGCAGAATGTCTGTTACTCTGTAGAAGTGTAGCCCTGTATTTTAGTTTGTTAAGAACTAGAAACACATGAATAAATTCAGAGAAAAGATTTCTACAAGTTACTTTCACTTGTAGCCTCACTATTCTTTTTAAAGTAATAAACTGTCTAATAGTAAGTGATTATTTTCCTGTAGCAGGAAATTTGTGAACAAGACAGGTCTAGTAATTTGCTCCTCCATTTTTGCTTCTCATCCTTTTGATCGTTATACCCAATTTCAGCAGGAGGCCTCCAACCCTTCTGCTGCTACACATTTGTACCATGCAAAACTCAGCAGAAACCAAGCACACCCTTGTCGGAACCCAAAATGTCCCTCAGACATTTTTAGAGGTTCCAGGCCTTGGTCCGAAGCATTTTAGACCCTGGCAAGCAGCTGAAAACAACTGTGATTTTAAGTTTGAACCATGGAATGAATTACCAACTTTGAGGGTGGAACAAGCAGTCACAGAATGTTAGATGGTATAGTAAAAGTAGTCACAAATTAGAGGGTAAAATTTTTTAGTGTTGTACAGGGGGGTTTTAGTACCTGTACAGGGGGGTTTTCACTTTGTACAGGGGGGTCAGGAGTTCTAAGATGGAGGAAAGTGGTCCTTATCTTATTCTTCCTCCTTCTTCTTCCTTACCTCCATGTTCTTGGTGATGTTGGCATTCACAGATTGGTTTAGAGTAGAAAAGCACATTGTAACGTAGATAGTAGGTATTGGGGAAAATCTATAAACATATAGTACGTAATATATCATATAAAAGATAGTAGCAGCTTTGGGCGGGGAGAGAGGTGACGGAGACACCGGACAGTGAGGGT